TTTTTTTTTTTTTTTTTTTTTGTTTGTCTTTCATTTGAATGTCTCTTTTTTTTCTGACATCCGACGTACAGGCAGCTACATTTTGCAAACAGTGTAGGGTAGATGCATCAGATAAATGATCGGTTAATATTTTGATTCAATTTCGTGCAACTATATAATTTTATTAATATTTTCGAAAATATTTCGTGCCTTTAAAGAGAAAATATAAGCGCCGTTTAAAGTCAGTAGCAATCGGAGTAGATGGGATTGCCAATGAATGGTAGTTAATTTCAATAAACGCGGTCGCTTCAACGTAAGGATTGTGTAAGAGACCGAGTATTAAGTACTGTGTCCTCGTTCATTAATGCATCTACCCTGACGCGAATCATTATAACGATGTGTTTATCGATTTACGACTTTGTAGCTGTCCTATGCGCGGGGAGGGTACACGAACTATGTCACGCATTGTATTCGAAACAAACGGATCTAATTGTCATCGTTAGATGGACGTATATATTCATGAAATAACAAAGTACTAGAGCTTGATATTCGATACGAACTGACAATTATTTTCGCGTTAGATTATTATCTTGTCATGACGTGTATACAAAAGTCGAGAATGCTTCACACTAATAATAATATTACAAGGTAGCCGGTGAGAAAGCAATGCTTCGTCAATTTTCTAATTCCATATACGATCAGATAACAATGATAATGGCAAGTTTTATATAACGACGGTCTTTCTCGTGAATATGAAGAATCGATTGGAAAATTCTAACTGATATATTAGTGAACTACCCATGCATATATATGTTGATACACGGAAGCGTTGCTTTTCACCACTAACTATATTTCTCTCAACTGGCGAGCTAGACACTTAATGTTAACGTCGGTCAGAGTCATAATCAGAATACTAACAAACTGTTTTTTCTTTTCTTTCTTGTTAACCCGTGGTTGCCCGTGGCCTGTAGGCTTGGAGTGCTAACAATGGATATCCACTCGCCCCGTGCTAACACCTGGACTCTGGAACAGCATCCCGCGTTCGATCGGTTCACCAACCAGCCGACCACCTTCGCCGTCCGTCCGCGTCACCAGCCCTGTTCGTCAAGCTTATCCATCATCCTGTATCCTCTTAATGTTCAGAAACGTAGTTTCTCTTTCGGCGACGAATCGTCGATTGGATTCCGAGCCATTTCTCGTACGACGAACGCACGATATATTATTAATTCATATAATATATAATTCATTTTGCAAAACATCACTCGGGTAACAAAAGTAGTCATTTTGACATCAAATTAGGTCAAAATGACGTCAAAAAGACTACTTTTGCTATCTGGACAGTGCTTATAAAGTGCACTATATATATATATATATATATATATATATATATATATATATATATATATATATATATATATATATATATATATATATATATATATATATATATATATATATATATATATATTATATTATATATATATATATATATATATATATATATATATATATATATATATATATATATATTTATATATATTTATATATGTATTTCATCCTCTTATCCTTTGGGCGAGTAAACGCGGGACTCGTTTATTCGGGACTCGTTTTAGACGCAGGTCAAGTACGCGCAATTCGGTGCAACGGTAGTAATTAGCGGTAGTTTTTATTACAAAGACAATAGTTCGATATTTTTATCTTTGTTTTCCCTCAAAAGAAGGGAAATGATATTGTATAACGCGCGATATATCCGAAGTATTTTATTTTCTCTCTCTTCTCGCGACGGCGAAATGAAATGTTGATGTTCGCGCTTTCCCCAGTACTTACGACTCCTACGCTGGCATATCTCCTCACCGGAGATGTGGCAGCGCGAGAATGTGACAATATTAATAAAACTTAAGCACGATGAGATATAATACACGCGCGCGTTTTTTTAGAACTAATCGCTAAGAAGGTGTCGCGCGTAAAAGAAAGAAAACGCGTGAATCCGTTCTGAACGGATCGAAGACTCCGCTGAAGAAAATTGCAACCGATATTCTGTGTCTTCCTCTTTTCTCGTGTGACGCATCACATTGAAAAAGCTCGAAATTCTGTACTCAACTCTCTTACATAAATGTGCCTTATATATAATGTTATATGTGTAGTGCGGTCACTGAGCCGCGTTTTTTTTCTTTTTTTTTTTAAATTTAGATAAAGCTTTGTTAATATCGATAGTCTACGTAATAGCATTAGAAATGTGCAATCAAAATTTACTTTCTCGATACATATATCAAGGGAAA